TTTTGTGGCCTTTTAAGCTTGCTATGAAAATATGAAGCTATGCTGGTACACACAGGAAAATCATCTCTTCATACTTCTCTTATGGGGCAGATTAAATTATATTAAGGGCTGGAGATTCTTCACCCTAAGTAGTATCTGATTTCCAAGTAACTTTTTAGAAATATAGCTATTGTGTAACTTATACTGGTACACTTTTAGTGTACTTATATTGGTCCATGGCTCTTATTTTTCTAATTTATGGCCCTTTTACTTATTTGTCTGTGTTACTGTCTGTCATTGATTATAAACTCGCAGAGGGCAGGAAGAGCATCCATGCTAGTTTTTCTGTATAGCGCCCCCAGCCCCCACCATGTTCAGAAACTCTTCCTAAATACTTTTTGATGATTAAAGTAAAAGCTGACAATTAAGTTGTAGTTTTTTTTCATCAAAAAGGACAGAAAGAAGGAAGGATATATTAAGTATCTACTAACATTTTACAAATATTATCTCATTTTATCCTCATAACACCCTAGGAAGTAGGTGTTATTATTATCCTCATTTTACATATTAGGAAACTAATATGGCAGACAGAGGTTAAGTGAGTTGCCCTAGGTCACAATGCTAGTAAGTGTCTGAGGGTGAATTTGAACTCAGGTCTTCCTGACTCCAGGCCCAGTGCTCAGAAGACAGGTATTGTCCTCCCCACAATGTCTAAAATTAAAGACATATTCCCAGACATTCCATATTTATTCACATTTCACATTCACATGTCATCACTTATTATGATTTGGGCTCAGATCCATAGAACACTAACATCAGCTATCTGGATCTGTTTCCATCCTTTGTCCAAAAGCTAGACTGGCTATCACAACTAAGTTTTCAGTCTATTAATCTAGTCTATTAATGGGGTAGTCTATATGTTTTCTACCATCCTCATGATATGACTTGTTCAATGTCTTTGCATGATATAGTGCCTCTAATATCTTGATACCTGCTGCAGAAGGTGGTCTCTGCTTGGTATGGGAATCCATGAAAGGAATTTACATCATTCTTTCCATTGTACAAACAGTACCTTTCCTCTGAGATAATCTAGTTTACTTTCTCTCTCTCTCTCTCTCTTTCTCTCTCTCTCTCTCTCTCTCTCCCTGTATATGTCTTGCATGTACAGAGTTGTTTGTGTAATGTCTCTCCCATTAGAACATGACCAACTTGAGGGCAGGGACTGTGTTGGCCTTTTTTTTATATCTTTAGTACTTAGCACAGCACCTGTTACATAGTACCATTTATGAATGCTTGGCACACCAAGCATTTATAAATGCTTGTTGACAGATAGCATCACTCTCTATTTTGTAAAAAAAAAAAAAAAAAGTAAGTGGATATTCCAGTCATTGTGGGCAGCCCTGTGGGGTACCCATTTGGCCCCAGTCTTTATGGACACTCCAGATATATAATGAAAAGAGTACTAGCTTGGAGACAGGAAACCAGGATAGAAATACCAGTTCAGTTCCAAGAAGGCAGAGTGGTATGGAAAAGAAGGCACTTATCAGGGTCAGAAAGCTTGGCTCCTGACTCTTGTTGAGATCTTGGGCAGGTTATTTCCCCTCCTAAGGCTTCAATTTCCTAATCTATAAAATGAGGGAGTAGGATTAGCTGATATATAAAATCCCTTCAAAACCTAAAATCCTGTTTTATCTTTCTCTCTTTGTGACCATGAGACTTATTTTACTTTCTGAGCCTGTGTCTTTTTTGTTTCTCACAGGGTTATTGTGAGGAGAACAATTTTTAATCTAAAAGTTCTATCTAGATATGAATCATCATTATCACCACCACCATCATCATGACAAAATTGTGCATATGTGGCTAATCTAGGCAGTCTGACATTGTCTAGTTCCTCAGACCTATTGAACTTCCCTTAGTAACCCATGTGATATGGGTCATGCCTTTGTGACCTTTGGCAAGTCACACAGGTATGGTCAATCTCATGTGGCTTACTAATAGAACTTAGACATTGAGCCTCTTGAAGTCTCAGTTTCCTAATCTGAAACATGAAGAGTTTGGTTAGTTTATCTCTAATGTCCCTTTCAGCTCTAAGCCTCATATTCCCATGATCCACAAATTCACCAAAATCATTCTTGAACTTCTTTGTCTTTTGACATCTGTGCCATCTCTCTGATTAATTTTACTTGCCCTAAAACTAACTCAAGAAAGTTCTCCCTATTACTAATGATTGTGGGCTTGGCAAGCAAGCCGGCCTTCACTCTCTCCATTCTGGGTGTGATTTTGTAGATTTTAGCCATGTCCCTTTCCACCTGTGTCACTCCATGCTGAAGAACCCATCTGCAAGCTCAGAAGCAGTGCCCATTCATGGGTGTGGTAACTCCCTGCCTTCCAACCTTGGGGAAGTTTAGATAGAACCATTGATTGCTCAATGTTCTAAAGCTTTCTATGTCCAGCCTTGTTTGTAGTACTTTGGTGGAACTAATGCAAAAGTAATACTGCCTGATTTCCTTTTGTCTAGCTGCCTCATTTCTTGAGGGTCTTGGACGTCTTCCCATGTGTTAGCTGACTCTCAAAGTTGTTGTCATTGACCACCATCACCCATATTACTCTTTCTAGTGCCTTGGATTTTCTCCCCATGGGAAGAGTCAACTTGATCAAGAGAGGCAGAAGGGTGTAGTGGGATCTAGGACTGGAGTCAGAAGACTGGAGTTTTAATACTGGTGTGGCTACTAACTTATTGTGTGCCAGTTCACTTGCTACTTCTTTGCACTCAGTTTCCTTATCTGTGAAATGGGGATAATTATGTCTGTCTTGTTGAGATTGTGAAATGAGATGCCATTTTGAAAAACCAAACAAAACAAAACACCATTAAGCATTTTTCAAATGTAATGTAGCATTATTGCTTGTAGATGAGACAGATGGTCAGTTTTATTATTACAATGTTGCATATTAACATATAAATAATATTAAATCATAATAAGCACTTATTAAGGCTCTATCTATTATGTTCCAGGCACTATGCTAAGTGCTAGGGGATACAAAAAAAGGCAAAAGACAGTTTCTACTTTCAAGGAGCTCACAGTCTAGTGGGAGAGGCAACATGAAAATAAATATTCTAAGACTGGTCTGAAAGGGAAAGTACAAAGATTAAGGAAAATCAGATAACAGGAATAAAAATATTTGGCACAGTGTGCTATAATGGGTAACATTTTAGATGTGCTGGAAACTAAAATCTTATGTAGCCACTGTGATTTTGGAGTAGAGCAGATAAAAGAATGGTGTGGCATCTGAGACACGTGATTGTGGGAGAAAGCTTTGGTGCCCTCCTGTGACCTCATTTGGACTGGTCATATGTATAATGACATCAATATGAGGTCATCTGGCCCTCCCACCCCTCCTCCCATTAGGTTTTAAAAGGAACTATCTACGCACAGAGGAAAAGGGTGATTTTTAGCAGAAAGGACAGAAAGTGCCCTGGGTGAAGGGCGAATCAATGACAGGGCTCTTCTGGCATGGAGTCCTCCAGCTCACTCAAGACATGCATTGTGTGTTGTGTGTGTCTGTGTTCATATGCGCCCACACTTTCCCCTAACACTGTTGAACTCTGTGAGTCCCTGCCCTCTCTCATGGATATGAATTATACATAGATGCATGAGGAGGCTGTGTATTTTGCAAAGTGCCCTTTTTTGCAGGCCTTAGGCAGTTGAAAGTGGGCTATTTCCTGTTGCCTCTGGGCTATGAAGACTACTCTCCCTCTCTTCCTTCCCTCCCTCCTTTGAGTCCCCTCTTTTACTGAATGGATGTTGCCCCAGACAAACTGATACCTGGGAAAGACCTTAGCTTAAAAAGGCCAAGGTCTCCCACTGTATCTGAGGCCATCCCCAGTAGTCTTACCACTGGACTCAAATGATTCTGGAGGAGAGTGAGGCTTATGACTTTGCATAGCCCTGCCTTACTAAAATCCAATTCACTTGCAAGTTGAGACATCACTCTCCTGAGGTCATCCATCCTCTTCGAGAGTGAAGGACAAACAACAAAAATCTTACTATATTTAAGAGATCCACTCCAAATCAAGTCTGTTAAAAAACACCAGAGGGTGGTTGGAAACAATATAGGGAAATGGGCTATTAAAAGCTAAATTCTTTTGGCTATGAGATACTGGGAGATATCAATTTTCTAAGCAAAATGGGAATGACAGAGGCATTTTTATAAGTTCATCTTCACTAAGGTAGAGGTGAGCTTCCTGAAGCTCAGAGAAATCACTTCAAGGTATAATATGAAAAGCTATGGACCTGGCTCTGCAACTTACTAACTGTCAATAAGTCTATAAGCATTTATTAAGCCCTGGGATACAAAGAAAGGTAAAAGACAGTCCCTTGAGGAAGTTACAATCAAGCAGGGGACAGAATATGCAAGTAACTATGTACAAACAAGTTATTTATAGGAAAATTGGAAATAATTAACAGAGGGAAGGTGTTGGAATTAAGGGGGATCAGGAAAGGCTTCCTGTAGAAGGTATAATTTTAGCTGGGACTTGAAGGAAGCCAGGGAAGCCAGAAGGCAAAGATGAGGAGGGAGAACATTCCAGGCATGGGAGACAGCCCAAGAAAATGCCCAGAGTTGGAAGATGGAGTGTCTCGTTAGAAGAACTGCAAGGAGGTCAGCATCACTGGATCTCAGAGTATATGTAGCCTTAGACTAGTTAACTTCATTTTTCTAGGCTGGGCTTTTTCCTTTGCAAAATGAGAGTGTTGGACTGATTGATCTTTAAGGCCCTTTATACCTAAAAATACTATGATCTTATGAATTTGTTGTAAAATGAGAGTTAGAGACAGGAAAATTCCAGCACTTGGGCAGGAATCAGTGTCCAGCATTTTTGGCATGATTAGCTAGTCAAGGACTGTGAATTTGCAGAATCCAGCTCCCCTCTTAGTCACCAGTCGGTGTATGGTTTTTGCCATATACCCAAATCTTCTGAGAGTCTCCTTGTCAACTTTTCTCTCTTACCAATGCCTTTGCAGTGTCTTTGCCTCCTGAGAAGACAGATGGACCAGGGAGTGGAGATGAAAAGAAGGCTGAGAAAGACAGTGAATCTTGCCCCAGCTCCAAGAAACAGCTGAAATTTGAAGTAAGTTTCCTCTTCCCTGGGTATTGGGCTGAGGTTTAAGCTCTGGCCCCTGGTGGGTGGAAGCAAAAACCAAAAACCTCCTTATTCATACTTTGACATGATTGTGAAAGAGGGGAACTCTTAGGGCAGCTAGGCGTCACAGTGGTTAGAGCTCTGACCTTGGAGTCAGGAGGACCCGAGTTCAAATCTGGCCTCAGACACTTGACGCTTACTAGCTATATGACCCTGGGCTAGTCACTTAACCCCAATTGCCTCACCAAAAAGCAAAAAAAAGAGAGAGAGAGAGAGAGAAAAAGAAAGAGGGGAACTCTTGCCAATCCAAACCATTAGAGAAACCAGGGCTGTTACCTATGCTGATACCCCTTTAAATTGGTTCCTCATTCCCCTTCTGCCAAGTTACTAGAGGCCTTTCATTAGTTTGTGTGAACTTTCTAACATGGTTTAAGCCCCCCAAGTGAAAAAAATCTAACTTCTTACACTGTTTACTCTTGGCTCTAGCTGCCATTGAACACCGATTTTTGCCCAAGGTGTTTCCTGATTAGATAAATACTAGAAGAGGCCCTATTAGGCGGAAGGCACAAAATCATAGCATTGGAAAGGACCATAGAATTTATCTGGTTCAAACTATACCTGAACAAGAATCCCTTTCTGCAACCCATCCACAAATGGTTATCCATCCTTTGCTTAAGATGGGAGACCCATTAACTATTATTGTTTTTATACAGGTGGCTCCTATGTTTCAATGTATAATCCAAATCCCTTTCCTGAACTCCAGTCCTATATGGCCAGCTGTGTGCTGGACAGCTCCGCCTCTGTGTCTCTTAGGCATCTAAAACTCAACTTGTCTAAAACAGAATTCTACCTTCTAACTCCTCCAAATTATATTTCTATTGAGAGTGCCACTATTCTTCTAGTTATCCAGGATTTGAACCTTGAAATAATCTTCTACTCCTCCCTCCATTTTATCCCAATCCTTCATATCCAATCAGTTGCCAAGTTGTGTCCATTTTGTCTTCATATTTCTCTAATCTGTCCCTTTTTCTCCACTTATAAGGCCACTCCTTTGATTCAGGCCATTACCACATTTCTTTCTTTAGTTTCCTAATTGGTCTCCCTGCTCCCAGACTCCCTCCTTTCTAGTCCTTATTCTGCACTGCTGCCAAATTCATCTTCCTAAAGCACAGGTCTGATGATGTCACTCCCTTTTTCAAGAACCTTCAGTAGCTTCTAAGGAAAGATACAAACTCCTTACTGACCAACTGAACACAGAGATACTTATTTGTGTGGTATAGTGAGCAAAAGATAGCATAAGAGGTCAAGAGATCTGGGTTCTAACCTTGATTGTCCTACTGGCTCATTGTGTGACCATAGGCAAGTAATCTCTTTTGTTCTCAGTTTCTTCTTCTGCAAAAATGGGGTGACCATAGCTACTTTCCAATGCCTCATCATAGTATAGGAACAACTTTAGCTTCTTAAGGGCTTTGACAGCCAAGTAAGCTCTGCCAAGTTCTGTTTAGTTGGAAAGGTTTCTTGTTTGGGCCCAGTGGAGGACTCTTATGTTACCTAAGGAGCAGCCTGACTGAGTTTGTACAAACTCTTTATGAGGGTGGTCAGGTATTTTGCCCATAATAAATCACAAAGACTTAATATTCATGTGATGCCATGGAAAGAGTACTGGATTTGGAGTCCAAAGGCTTGGATTTGGAGGTATTTGGAGTCCAATCTTGGCTGTGCTACTCTGTCACATTGGGCAATCTCTGCTCATCTCCAAGTTTCAGTTTGTTCTCATTTGGAAAGGAAGGGATGGAATTTCATGATCTTTGAGATCTCTTTCAGTTCAGAAATTCTGTGATTCTTTGAAATAAGATAATGAAAAATAAGAATAAACAATTCTTGGGAAAAGCTTGACTTTTCTTTTCTTTTTTTTTTTTAGGCAATTGGGGTTAAATGACTTGCCCAGGGTCACACAGCTAGTAAGTGTTAAGTGTTTGGTCTGAGGCCAGATTTGAACTCACATCCTTCTGACTTCAGGGCTGGTCCACTCTATCCACTGCACCACCTAGCTGCCCCTGAAAAGCTTGACTTTTCAAGAAAATCAATTATATATTATTACATTGATTTTATTTTAAGTGGAGATGAGTTTTTATCATCTTGGCAGATTGACTCCTGCAAGAAAAAGAAAATAGAAATCAACACTTTTTCTTTTCCATTGTCATCAGTTAATTTGATACTAATATAAATCCTGCTTCTTGCAGACTATCTGATTTAAGTACTACCTAATTTCCTTTGAGCTTGTGGATGATATGAGACTTAATGGAGGGTAACTGGAAGTAGGATCCTTGGTGTTTTATCTCTCTTGGATGCCAGAGGAAATGACCACACTTTAATTTTTTAATGGCTGTACAGGTGACAGCTTCATAGCTGTAGAGATATAAGGAAACTTCAAGGTCATTTGGTCTAACCCTCTCATTTTGCATTTGAGGAAACTAAGCAATTAAGTGACTTGCCCAAGTTCCCAGAGGTAGTAAGGGACAGAGCCAAGATTTGAACTCTCTGACTCCAAATTTAGCACTCTCTTTACTGCACCATGGTGCTCCTTGAGCCCTGAGTCCTGGTTTGGGTGAGTGCTAAGAATAATGGAGCTAGAGGTACCTTCTAAATCTTTCTATATCTTCTACATCCTTGGTTCCTCTGTCTCCTTCACTGCCTCTCCCCTCACCCTCCAATCAATTGTCAAGTCTTGTACATTGAACAAGGATTTTAGATGCTGCTAACTGGGACATGGGGAGGAGGGGTGTCATCTGGTTAATCAAATGAGATAATATTTGTAAAGCATGTAGCACAGTGCCTGGCACACAGTAGGTGCTATATAAATGCTCCCATCTCTTCCTTTCCCTTCTCCCTGTTTGGCTCAGTCTATTTGGAGCTCATTGGACTATGCCTATTGTCAAGGAGCAGCCAGTATCCCTCACCAAAGTTAGCCAGCCTGCCTCTGCAGGCTACCATATTATTCACCAGGCATAGTATATGGTCACTGGGAAAGGGAACGCTTGTTCAGCTGGCTGGGGCATGTGGGCTCTTAACATGTGGTGAGAAATCAAGCACAGATAAGTTGATACTCTGCTCCCATACTCCTTCTTTCTGCTCCCTCACATCAAAGCATCCTCAACACAGGCTCAGAGGGGCTGGCAAAACAGGTAAATGGATTCACTTTACGATGAGGTATAAAGGAAGAAGCAAATGGCAAGTGTGTATGTTTGGGGTGAGGAGAGAGGAATGGGCGGGGGTCTCTCTTAGAGGTGTGTGTATGCACAGAGCGTGTTGTGTAACATGAAACGATGCATCTGGGAACAGAGCTGGGACACTTGGCAGTTATCAGATGGGCTTGTTACAACTGAGGAAAAGCTGCCTTTGAACTCAGCATGGGATGGGGGGGACCGCTAACTGCTGTAGGGAATTGGTTTCAAGTCAGCAGGAGAAGCCAGGTATTCGAGAGTCTGCTTTCTCTTGCACATTCTCTCAGAAGCTGTTTGAAGCTGTTTATTTTACCCTCTGTTGGGGAGTTTTGTCTGTTGACTCTGCTGTGCATGGAGAGAGCTGGGGTGACAAAGGTTTGGGGTTTCATTTGGGGTGGAGGAGGGAAGCCAGTGGGAAGAAGGAGACAGACATAGAGTGGTTTCTATTCATGTAACTGTAGCCATTCATTCATGTTTTCTCTCATTCATTCAACAAACCTGTGCATTAGGTTATCACGAAGATACAAAACTGAACAAGGCATGGTCCTTGTCCTCATGGAGCTTTTAAGATAGTAGGAAACTTAAGAGCTTCTTTTGTTTTGCTTTTTTTTTTTTTCATTTTTATATGATATGAATAGAAGGGACCTCTGTGGTCATCTGGTCTAACATCCCACCTAGCATAGGGATCTCCTCCTACAAATCCCTAGCAGGATCCAACTGCTACATGAAACATCTAGTAATGGAGAACTCACTCTAAGACAAGATAGCCCATTCCATTGTTAGACTGCCTCCATTGTCAGACATTTCTTCATTCTACACATTGAGCCCAAACCTTCCTCTCTGAAACTTCAGTCTTCGTTCTGCCTCAGTGCCACACAGGATAAGTTAGATCCTTTTTTCCACATGGTAGCTTCTCAGATATGTGAAGACACAGATCTGTTTCCTAATTTATAAAATGATGGATGATCTCTAAATACAGGGTGTTTCAAAAGTCTTGCAGAGGACTGAGACTTTTGGGATATCATCCATATCATCCTATGCCCCTCTCCTACACAACTCTCTCCCCCCCCCCCCACAGTCTCCTATTATCTCATGGACCTTGCTTTCAAGAAGATCTATGTTCAAATCCCACTTCAGCTATTTAATAGTTAGGTGACCTTGGCAAATCATTGAAATTCTCTAATTCCAGTATCCTCTCTGTAAAATGGGGCTAATAACAGCATCTACCTCATAGTATTGTGAGGATCAAGTGAGATAAGGTATTTTAAAGAGTAGGAATAGGGATTGGACTTGTAATGTTATTGCTATATAGAGTTCTGAGAGAGGAAACACTTCCTTACTAATGCAGGCAGGTTGGCATTTTCTCTGTAATTTATAGTCTTAATGAATTTCCTACAGCCCCAAGAGAGTAAGTAGCATCCCAAGGTGACCCAGTCAATATGTGTCAGAAGAGTAATGAGTAAACCCAGGTTTTCTTGGTTCTCAGGCTAGTTGCCTATAGCTGTTGTGTTCTGCTACCTCTCCTTGAGGTATACAAAGTGCTTTGTAAATTTCAAAGCACTATATAAATGTAAGTTATTATTATTATTAATATTTCCCAGACTGATCATCCCCAGTTTCTAGTTAAATATCCCCAATTTTTTTCTGTTTTTCTCTTTTAAAAATAACTTTTTGGAAGTTGAAACCAAAGGTTTCATTGTAGCAGAAATGATGGGCAAAGTTCTAATTAAGGGAAAAATGGTGATGTCTCCACCATCCCAGCTTCTATCCTTGGAGCCTCACATGGCACAGGGCTGTGGAACCACTTTCTGTCTTTCTTTCAGGAATTACAGTGTGATGTTTCCGTAGAGGAAGACAACCGGCAAGAATGGACCTTCACACTATATGACTTTGATAATAACGGCAAAGTCACTCGAGAGGTAAGAGGGGACGTCACGCTCTGTTTGCCCCTAGATCTTCCCTGTCACCTCTGTGAATCAAAGCAATACTTTCTATGGAGCCACCCCTTCCTATAGCTTGTCTCTCTGCTCCCAGAACTCCCACTCTGAATTTCCAATTCTCTTGACAGGAATAGGGTTTGGTATATGGGAGAAAGGTACTTTATTGGAATCTTAGGAAGGCCTAGAAGCAGTAATCTTTCTAGACTACTCAAGAGTTAAGACTATTAGTCCTAGCTTCTTTAATATTTTAGGGATCTATATAAACTGCAGATTAATATTGCATTAATGCATATGGCAGCTTACCTTAGCAGACAATTTTTATGAGTTGTGGCCAAAAATGTTTGTCACCTGGCAGCCAACTTTCTGGCAATAAGCCCCCGCCCCCAAATTTAACTGCAATTAGCACCCAGCCTTGGTGTTCTTGAGCAGAGTTATCAAACATGCAGCCTGTAGTCCACATGTGGTCCCCAACACTCATGTGCAGTCTGAAATAGATTAAAATGCAATTGGGAAATATTTTAAGAAATAAATAAAAAGACAACAAAACAGATAATATGACATTTTAAAGCCAGGTTAATATGCAACCCACAAAAATCCTTACATACAGATTAATGCTCCCTCTGTTTTTATTTGAGTTTGACACCACTGCTCTGGAGAACTCAAGAATCCTTTCTGTGTTTGGATAAGTGCAATTCATTGTGAATGCTCAGTAATTGTTTATCAAATTGAGGAAAACTAAAGCTAAGAGAAGTTCTATGACTCATCTACATAGCTAGTAAGGGACACATGCATGCATAGAACAGTGGTCTCCTGATTTAAGTCCAGAACCTTTGCCATTATACCAGTATTGTAGATGGTGTTAATTAGAGTCAAGTAGTGATGATCATGTCTGAATTTCTGGGTGGCTTTCAGTTTTTATCCCTAATGTGCCTCGATATAGAGGAACTACCATGGCTTCAAACCTATTCCCTAAAAGATCATAAGATTCGGAGCTGGAAGGGACCTTAGAGTTCATCTTGTTCAATCTCTTCAATTTTCAGAGGGGGAAATTGAGGTCCACAGAGCTTACATGATTTGCCCAGGTAACATAGGCAAAGCCAGTATCCGAATTCTACTCTTCTGACTCCAAATCCAGTGCTCTTTCCATGTATGCTCTCAGCTTTGTCCTTTAGAGATGTTTGAATGATAGCTAAAATCCAAGCACTCAAATCATGGGAGTGCCTTGAAGGGGAAGCCCTGGGCCTTTCTCCAGGGAGGACTAGTGAGCTGTTCTGAGTATAGGCTGGTCTCTTCTCAACCCTGAGAGCTTCCCCTGAAACACCACAAAGACCATATCATCTCTGTATCCATTTATATACGCACAAACACACACACAGCTATAAATGGACAACTATATATGCACAACCTGAGGCTTTTTGGGTCACCAAGTGTTTAATTTGACTATATTTATAGATTTGTAATAACCACATCCTCTTAGGGAAAGCTCCATGGTTTAGTGAGGTGAGCAAGTCCAGACTTAGGACTCATATTGATTGAATAAATGAGATCCTCAAAGTCATTCTGAATGTCATCCAACTTTAATATTGGTACCTCTTTGAGTCCATTTTGATTTATTGATTGACCTTTCACCACTCAACAGCTAACCCTTTGCCATGGCACCTTGGAGGATGGGGGATAATTTGTTCTGAAGCAAAGTACTCAGCATCTCTAAAACACTTTTACATTCCTGTTAATTTTCCTTAGTTTTACCCACCTGAATAAATGGTTCATGCTTAAAATAACCAATCAACTAGCATTTTTCAAGTGCCTACTATGTGCCTAGCACTATGCTAGGGATACCGAGAAGGGCAAACCAGTTCCTGATCTTAAGGAGCTCACAATTTAATGGAGGAGAGAAAATAGTTCACTAAAAAGAGTGATTAAGTTAGGAAGCAGAAAGACCTGGTTCTAGTTTCAGTTCCACCATTTGCTAGTGATGTGAACCCCATGAGCAGACACAGATGCAATTGCAATCTTCATTGTTGGAAGTGGTACCTGATGAGATCCTGGATCCATTGGATTATTAGAATATTCGTCCAAGTGCATCCTTAGCTAGGTTCAGAGAAGGTCATCACCCTGTTGAACACAGGGTAATGAATTTATTCACCGAGAGCAACTCATGAAGTCTGTCTACTAAGACAAGAAGAAAAGTCTCCTTCTCAGCCATAGTAACTCATGAAGGCTATCTACTAAGTCAGAAAGGAGTTTTGACCTACACTGATGGAGGGAGAGTTCCCATGTCAATGAAGTCACAGATCCTGTAAGTCTTACTGTAAATGACCTTGACAAGTCACTTAACCTCTCAGTGACTCTGTTTCTTTCTTTAAAATAGGAATGATAGTCCTTGGCCTGTCTGCCTACCCAGAGGGTTGTCATGAGAATCCGGTGGGATGATAGATGTAAATACATTTTGAAAATATAAAACACTACTAATATAAAGGATTATTATTTCACAGAAAGAGGGACCTGCTTTCTCTGACAGCCCGTTTTGAGAACTGACAGCTGTGCCATAATTATCTTCACAGGGAGGTTTGCCATTGGACTTTAAATTCCAGATAATTGAGCTGATGTGTCTTGAGTGTTTGTGCCAAAGGTTTAGAAAGTGACCCTACTTCTTGGAGAGCATTCTGTCCCCCCCACTGTCCATTTTGTCTGAAAGACTGCTATTCTCCTCTCCATCTTTCTCCCTGTTGCTGGTTTAGAATGTGAAAAGTTCCACTTTTCAACATTTCAGCACTGGAAGATTTTTCTTTTTATTCTTTTTCTGAGCAGACCCTAGGGAAACCTACCAACTGATGTTGCTTTCTGGTTCTAACTATAAGCTCTTAAAAAATATTCTAGGTGATTTTAAAAAAATAAGAAAAAAGAAAGGGTTAAAAAAAGAAGCATCTTTCAGAGTGGACTTGGAGAAAGATTGTTTCCTTTTTCTACTGAAGAGAAGGAGGGTGGAGGATTAGTGTCAGGGGAGAACTGGGGCTGGCGTTTCCCTTCATCTATTTTTAGCCCTAAATCCACTCCTCAAATCTGGTTATAAATATACAGTTTCCCTCCATGCTTTTTGGCTGTCCCCACACACATTCCTCTGTGTGGGAAGAGAAAGGCTCACACTTTTCTGCTTCAGTCAAATTTCAGATCAAGGCTTCTAGTCAGTGCTGAATCTCCAGGTTAGAAGAGTTTCTCTTGGTCCATCATGTGGACTTCATTCTCTAATTGGGATTACCGAATTTGTCCTCTCACTCAACTTCTGATAAATAGTGCCTAAGTAAACATAAAATCAATTTTTTTATCTATGTAATATTTTTAATGAGAATAGTCTATACTAGTGATTTCAAACTCAAATGGAAAGAGGGATCACTAAACTACACATAAGGATACATGTGGACCACATATTGATTTAGAAAATCACAAATTCATATTACCTTTGTTCTATCATATTTCTATTTATTTTGCTAAATATTTCCCAATTGCATTTTAATGTGGTTTGGGTACAGTCTTGGGTAGGATTAGGCTGTGTTTGACATCTCTAATCTGCACATGTACATTAAGACCATCTTCAATGAATTTCACAAGGGAATTAGTAAGCTCTTGCAATTGATATTCCACAGGAGATCACATCTTTCTAATTATTCAACTGATGGAAAAGTATAGAGTAGGGGACAGGGACAGCAAACTATCAAATTTGGGAGCCTACAAGCTAAGAATGGTAGCTTGTGGACTATGTAGAAATAGGTATTAGCTGTAGGCCATAGTTTGCCCACCCCTGGTATAAATAATACCAAATATTCCACTGGGTTTATTGTTTTTTTCTTGTAATAATATTTTACTTTTCCCCCAATTACATGTAAAACAATTTTTAACATTCATTTTCTAAAATTTTGAGTTCCAAATTCTCTCCTTCTCTCTCTTTCCTCCTCCCTCTCTGAGATGGTTAGCAATTTGATATAGTTTATACATGTGCAATCATGCAAAACATATTTACATATTAATCATGTTGTGAAAGGAGGCACAGGTCAAAAAAAAAATAAAGTGAAAAATAGTATGTTTGGATCTGCATTCAGACACCATCAGTTTTTTCCCTGGAGGTTAGAGAGCATTTTTCATCATGAGTCCTTCATGATTGTCTTAGATCATTGTATTGCTGAGAATAGCTAAGTCATTCACATTGATCATTGTACAATGTTGTTATTACTGTGTACAATGCTCTTCTGGTTTTGCTTACTTTACTTAGCATGAGTTCATATAAGACTTTCCAGGTTTTTCAGAAATCATCCTGCTTGTCATTTCTTATGGCACAATAGTATTCCATTATAAGCATATACCACAACTTGTTCAGCCATTCCCCAATTGATGGACACTCCCTCAATTTCAAATTCTTTGCTACCACAAAAAGAGCTACTATGAATATTTTTGGTACATGTCAGTCCTTTTCCTTTTTTAGAAAAGATATCTTTTAGACACAGAACTAGTAATGGGTGTTGCTAGATCAAAGGGTATGCACAGTTTTATATTGGCTTATTATGTGTTAAATATAAAAAGCACTTGGTTCAGTAGTGCAGTAGTGCAAAATGTGCCTTTAATAGTTGTCCCCACCAACAAAGTAGTGAACATAGAATCTAAATCTTTAAGGTACTTCAGAGGCCTTCTAGTCGAATCCCTTCATTTTATAGATGAGGAAAATGGGTTTTTAAAAAAGGGGAAAGCGACTCGCTGAAGGTCACACGGGTAGTAAATAGGGTGCTCCTTCATTTCGGCACAGGTCATCAGACTTCAGATCTACTGATCTTTTCATGAGCAGTGGCCTCCTCTAATGAAAAAGGCCTAAGACGTGTTGTCTGGGGTCTAGGTTCTAATTTAATCTAATCTTATGCTGTATGACCTTGGGAAAGTTACTTAATTGTATCTAATTTTCCTCATCTGTAAAATCAAGTAATAATACCTACTTCACAGGAGTATTTGAGTTTTTCCCCAAGATTGTGGGAAAGAGAGTAAGCAAGCTTTGATCTCAAAGGAAAATTTATGGGAACTTATTAAAAAAAAGGGTAAGAAGGAAAGAGGGAAATGCTGAAATATATAAAAAGGACAGAGGAGAAGAACAGTCTGGAAGGACAAAGTCACATTTAGGAAAAGGGGCAGTAAGAAACAAAAGGAGAAAGTGAGTGTAATGTTGAATTGTTATATTTAATTAAGGAATTGATCTGAAATTAAGAAGTAGACAATTTTTGTTCATTTGATGATGATGAGAAAAGAATTGCATGTACTTTATTAACATATTTTATAATCTTAAACTTATAACAAATATGGAATAAATAATATAAGGTGTGAAAACACTTTGAAAATTTAGTAAATCCTATATTAAAACACAAGGGATGGTGTTTTTAGGGACATTAAATTCAATAAACATTAATAAATACCTAATATGTGCAAGGCTTTTGGCTGGGGCCCCAGGAGTACAAAGATGTACATTTAGAGTCTAATGGGAGAGGGAAAGAAACATATTTATTTAAACAACTATAGCACTGAGGAGAAGTTTTAGGTGAAAGAAATCCCTTTGATTTGGATGGAGTCAGGAAAGCTTCATGAAGGTGAGAACACCTGGGTTTTGAAAGAAGAGGAAGAGAGACCTCAATATTTTAGGGCATCTTGTTGAGAAAAGATATCAATAATCAGGAGTGTGTCCGGAAGAGGGTAGCCAGGATGGTAAAGGACCATAAATTCATGCAAGTGAGGATTGGTTAAAGGAGCTGGGGATGTTCATTCTGGGGAAGAGAAGACTTAGGTGTGGGACGTGATACTTGTCTACAAGTATTTAAAGGGCTGTCTTCTGTAAGAGGATTCAAATTTATTTTGTTTGGCCCTGGAAGATAGAATTAGACACAATGGGCAGAAGTTAAAGACAAATTAGACCTCATGTAAAGGAAAAATTCCCAAGCATTAGAGCTGTCTTAAAGCGGACTACACTGCCTCCAGGGATGGCGGGTTTCCCCTCACTTGAGGTCTTTAAGCAAAGGATAGATGAACAGCTGTTGAGTATATTGTAGGGGATATACTTTTTGGATCCTTTCTTACTAGCTGTGTGACCTTGGGCAAATCATTTAATCCTGTTTGCCTCAGTTTCCTCATATGAAAAATGAGCTGGAAAAGGAAATGGCAAACCACTCCAGTATCTTTGCCAAGAAAACCCCAAAGGGGTCATGAAGAGTCGGACATGATTGAAAAATGACTCAACAACATCCTTTTGGAAGATACAGATCGGATTAACTGGTCCCTAAGGTACTTATCAACTTTGAGATTCTATGAAGAGGCATAAAGGTAGGGGCAGGGAGAGTGCATTCCAGGCATGAGTCACAGGGTGGACTACAGCATAGGAATGGCAAGATTGCAATAGAAATGCATTGATGTTGTTCAGCTCTAAATGGCCTCTTCTCTTTCTTTTCGATGGAACTGAGATCTTCCATTCATTTCTGCAAGAGGAGCATTTGTTGCCCGATTAGGCTCCCAAATCTTGTCTTGACAAGCTTACTGGCAGGGCTAATTTTACGGGAGAGAAGCAGCCCATTCCGGTGCAGGTTTATCTCTCACGAACATCCCCAAGAATGTGAGCATTCTAGGGCAGCTGGGTCACTGGTCCAGCCTCAGTAACCTCAGTAACCCGGGAACAGGTGGGATAAAAATGAGCTAACCCTGGCTCTGAGGAGAAGGGATGGTGGGAGTAGAAGAAGAGGCAGGAAAGAAGCTTACCACTTTGTTATTAGATGTCCCCACAGTGCTTGGCAGTAACTTTGGAGATAGTTTTTAGAACCTGACCATTAGTCACAGAAACATAGATCAGTAACTGGAGAAGGAATATCACAGGACTTCTAGTCCAGCTTCTGTATTTTCCAGATGAAGAAGCCAGAAAAGAGAAATGACTTACCCAAAGTACATAGCTAGGAAGCACCAAAGGTAGGATTTGAACCCAGGGCTTCTGGCAATATTCTTATTGATTAATTGTTGTTCAATTATTTTTCAGTCATGTTGGACTCTGTCTGACTTACTGAGGTTTTCTTGGCAAAGGTACTTTTTTTTTCTCCAGCTCATTTTACAGATTAGGAAACTAGAGGCAAACAGGGTTAAGTGACTTGCCCAGGGTCACATAGCTAGTAAGTAGAGGCCAGATTTGAACTCAGGAAGATGAATCTTTCTGACTCCAAGCCCAGCACTCTATCCACTAAGCTACTTAGCTTAATTAGTACCAGGCTATTAATTTTGCCTCTACTTCTTTCTTACTTTCTTAGTATATATGAGAATACTTGGTTAAAACCCAGTGTGGAATTTTTCTTGAATTTCCCATCCAGGATATCACTAGCTTGCTCCACACCATCTATGAGGTAGTTGATTCCTCGGTCAACCATTCCCCTACATCCAGCAAGACTCTTCGGGTGAAACTCACAGTGGCCCCAGATGGGAGTCAAAAGAGGAAAAGTATTTTGCTCAATCATGCCGGTAAGAATTATTCAGGGCAAATCAGTGGTAAGCTGTGGAAGGGGAGATAACAACAGTAAAAATAATTTACACCCCCCCCCCACTTTCTTTTTGAGAGACTTACCCCTGCAGAGAGGGTTGGAGTGGGGGCATGTCAGGTGAATCTTTTCATAGAGGAACTGCAGAAATCAGTTGCCATATGAGGAGGGGAAAGACATTCTTGACTCTCAGATTTAAGTGGCAAAGTCTTCCTGGAGGGTCAGACTTGAGCTGGGCCTTGAAGAATTTGGACCAATGGAGTGGGAAATGGGAAGACTTTTATTTCAAAAAGACAAAAACAAAGGCAGGAAGGAATATGACATTTTGGTCCTGGATAAAATATGAGATCTATCTCAGGAAGGAGAGAAGGTATATATTCTGGGACCAGATTATAGAATATTGGGCCAGAGAGTCAAGGAGTAGAAGAAGGAATCAATAAGAGGGAGTAAGAGTATCCATAGTTGTTTTGTGTTTAGATCATGTTGGATGAGAGGTTCCCAGAGTCCTTTTAACCACACCAACTTTACCCTGGGCCCTAAGCTACTATCCTATTAGTTTTCCGCAGCCTTATTCCTGGGGAGTTGTGATTCACAAATACCTTTTTTTTTTTAATGCCTCTTGGGGCAAAAGCCTGGTCCAAAGCATAGATGGCTGACTTTGGATTTCAGAAACACTTAAGAAGTATTTGCAGAGCACAAAACAGTATTGGGAGAAATACAAAGCCAAGGGTGACACGTCCCCCTGCCCTACAGGAACTTAGATCTAGAAGAGAATGATCAGACATATACAGATAAATGTAACACAAAACAAAGTACAATGAGGGCACAAATGGAGGACGAAGTGCTATGATATCAAATAAAATAGGTCGAAAATAAGACACTCATTGGAGAATGTTTTCTGTGCTTCCCTGGGTGTGGGTGACAGACCTACCAAGTTTGAGGCGCAGAACAGAGAGCAAGGCCAATGAAGAGCTGAGGAGCTTGGAGAAGAAGCAACGTGCTCCCCTCAGGTAGGGAAAACCCTCACTGGGGACTGGCAAAGACAGAGGCTGCTCTTTTGAGAGGACCTCATGGGGGAGGGCCCTCCAAATGCTTCAGCTGCTCAGCAAGAATTTGGGGAATGCCTACTTCTGGGAGAAAGCTTGAAAAGGAAGAAAATTGATCGAAGTGCTTCAGGGGCATACAGTCTGGTTACAGAAACAAAACACATGAGACAGTTATGGCATCATCTGGAACTAGAAGTATAGTTCTTTTTTTTTTTTCAATAGGGGAACTGAGGCTCAGGAAGGTAAAGTCAGTAATTGTGCAATTGCTTATTGGTTTCTTACTGTGCATTAGACAAAGAGTTTTATGCAGATGCCATGTTGGGTAATCGTGACTACATGTGCTGTAGGAGTTGAGAAGGAAGAGATAGATGTGGGCTGGCTTGATGAGGCAAGAGGCAGGACAAGCAAGACCTTGAAGGATGAAATGAGATTTGATTGGGGAAAGGGAATTCTGGGGATTAGGGATCCAATCAGATAGCATGAGCAAAGGCATGGGGTGAGGGATGTGAATAGTATTTTTGGAGAACAACAAGAAGCCTGATCTGACTAAATTGGAGGGTTGGTTAAGGAGGAAGATTGAGATTGTGTACTATAGTAGGAAAAGTACACGATTTGGGGTCAGAGGGATTGGGTTCAAATCCTGGTTCTGTTACTTAGTAACTTGTATAATCTTGGACAAGTCACTTTATCTCTTTTGGCCTTGGTTTCCTCATCTGTAAAATGAAGTGGTTCAGTAGATAATTTCTAAGTTCCTTTCTACTCTAATTCCCCCAAAATGAGGTTGGATAGAGTGGAACCAGACTGTGGAGGACCTCAAATGTAAGACAGAGGAATCTACGTACACTGTAAATAAAACTTGCCCATCTTCCTGCCTTGATCACCCTGATGCCTACCCTCAGGCTGGCCCAACTGCTGCTGCTGAGGTTATGATGCACGGTTTTGAAACTGCACTTCAAGCAATTGAATGATAATCCCTCTTTGGTACATCTCTGGGCACTACTTAATCCTCACAATGACCCTATGAGGGAGGCAGAGGAGGTGCTGTTAACCCCATTTCACAGATAAGGAAACTGATGCCCAGATAGATGAAGTAACCTCCCTAAAGTTACACTGCTTAAGGGTGACCATGCCAGGGCTACAGTGCAGATATCCTGACTCTCAACCCTGGGTTCTTTCCCTACCTGCTATTTCCTGTAAACCCTTCCCCCTCCCCCACACACTTATTTGTATAGTCGCTCAAATGCCTCTGTTCCCTTCCAGGTACCATGGAGATGCCCACTTGGAGCAATCTGGGCGTTATCACCATTGTGTTGATGAGAACATTGAAAGAAGAAACCACTATTTAGATCTTGCAGGGATAGAAAACTACACATCCAAGTTTGGACCAGGTAAAGGAATCCCCCAAGGGTGCGGCAAGTTTGATCACTGCTCAATGAATTCATCCAAATGAGCTTCCCTGGGCTAGGTGAAGGAGCTGATCTTCTGAGTCCCTTGTGTTGGCTTCTGGTATCATTTAAAACCTGCCAGTTCTTAATGGATTCAACAAGCATTTATCTCATGCCTACTGTGTATAGGGCATTGTACTAGGGAAATGCAAAGTTCACATAGGATGAGGTCCTGCCTTCATGGAGCACAGAATTTAGTACAGTGATAAGACACTGAAATAGAGAGCTATCACGCTCAACATCACATGAGAAGCACATTGGAAAAGTTACTGACCAAGGGAGGTACCAGGGGAAGGTTATCACTGACTAGGGAAATCAAAGAAGGCTTTAGGGAAGAAGTAGCATTTGAGTTGAGCTTGAAGGGATGGATAGGAATCTGGCTGGTCAAGAAGTAGGGGGGTGGGTAAGAAAAGGCATTCCAGGCTTAGGGGGCTGTGTGAGCCAAGGCTGTGTTAGAAGGTAGAGAGCATGCTCAGAAAGCAGAGAATTGTCCAGTTTGACTGGAGCCTAGAGGATACAGAAGGAACAGTATTCAATAAGGCAGGAAAAGTGGTTTGTAGGGCATCCTACTTTGTGGATATTAATGCTACCTATATTTTTGGGAGCTAGTATTCAGCAAGGGAGCATGGGAGTTGAGTTTGAGAATGAGAAAGAGAGTGGCTGTGGGAAGGTTAGCATAAGTACCAGAGAAGTCATCAGTTTGAGTCTGATAGTCCAGAAAGGACAATTGGAGTAGATGACATTTTGGGGTGGGAGAAAAACAGCCTTGTGATCAGTTATAAGGCAGGGTCTTCTAGCTCTAGTGTTGTTGTTCCAGGGTGTGGGGAGTGTTGAAGAAATGATAAAATTCTCTTTCTGTGAAGTCTGTTCCTATCCAGGGCTGTGAACTTGTGCTCAGAGGTATCAGAGGAGCTGACTTTGCTTGTTGTTTCCTAGGCTCTCCTTCACAGAAGCCTGAGCTGCCCACGAGAGTCCCCATCCAGACTAGATCTCGCTCCCATGAACCTGAAACCATCCATGTGCACCACAGGAAGTCCCAGGGGGCAGAACCTGGCCCCTTTCACTTCATGGACATTCCATATGCCAAGATCACTGAAGTCCAGCAACGCCTCCGGGTTGGTCAGGATCTGAGCAAGCACTTTGTAAAGTCCCCCAAAGCCCAGAGCAAAAATGTGGGGTCAGCCCACCTGGGGAGGGGAGCAAGAAACAAATCGATCCTGGGACCTGCCATCCCCTTGGCTTCCCCAACGACCCGCCCCATCCCACCCTACCTCCTTGGCCCAGCCCCACCAATGCACAAGAAACACAAGCAGAGAGCCAAGGAAAGTCAGCAGATGTGCAAAAGCCTCCAGCCCCCTGGGAGCACAGTGGTGGAGAAGGAACATGTGCGAGACCTGCCCACAGTTGTATTATATGAGGGCCAGGTGGGGCAAATGGTCCAGAGACATGAACACCACCATCACCATGAACATCACCACCATTACCACCATTTCTATCAGACATAGAGCATCCTGCCCCCACCCTCACACTAAAGAACTCCCCAACCCCACCACAATATGAAGGAACCCCTCTCCCATGATGTCTGACTCCCAAGGCATTATCGTTCTTATTCATAATTATTCTTATTGTTGTTGTTACTTCACTAATATTCAATTAGTCTCCATTTTAGAAATTATATGGAAACACAGACACTTACCTTAATTTATATATTGTGGAAACTGCATAGCTTACTTAATTAACAACTTGTGAATTTTTGTAGCGGCTTGTGAGGATTGCGGAGGCAGTCCCTGGCTTTCAGAACTGGGCTCTCCCTGCAGATGGTCATCAATACGCTTCTGGGACCAGCACAGGGATGGAGGGGGTGGATGGCCATTGCCATGATCCAATGGTTCCTTGGCTTCCACCTCCCCTCCTGTATTCCAGCCTTTCCTGGGGAAACATTACTGCCTGGTCCTGCTTCCAGAGACCTTTAGAATTGCTGAGACAACAAACTGTTGCTACCTCTTAGTATTACTTAGATTTTATTTGTCCCTTAATTGATTGTAATGTGCTATGGGGGGATTTTGATGGACTCTGGTTACGTGGCCTATTTGGTGTCATGTTTTCCTATCCCTGGGAACGTTAGCTGTATTTGTCAATGGAGTTACCCTTAACACCTACCTACTCATTTGAATCCCAGATTCTTTTCTGAAGGCAGTCTTGACTGTTCTATGATGGAAAAATCAGGAAACACCCTTCTCTCCTCTCCTCTTTGCTCTTAAGGGAAGTACGTGTACATTCATGTAGCTAAAGTCTGTCTCTGAAACTACACTTGTCTTGGAAAACCACTGGAAAAGGGAGTGACCACAGGAACACGAGCGCAGGGTTGTTTTTTTTGTTTGTTTTTTAAGTCCTGCCTTCAACAAAACTGGGGCTGTTCCCAGGTGTTGTGTGTTGGCTTTTCCGGAAATTGTTGTTGTGACTGAGAATGTTAAAAACCCTTTCCCCTTACAGTGCTGGCAAATATATTGTACATACCTACATAATTATATAAATATAGCTATTTATAGAGACAGATACTAGTTTGTCTCTATATATATTTATATAAATATACACACTCAGGTACATTTTCTTGTGTTGTAGAAATCTGTGATTTGCTTCTCTGAAATATAATTATTGTCCCAGGAGATGGGTTTTCATGTGTATGTGGCTGTGGTTGGGGATATGTGGTTTAATTTTACCCCCTGGTGGGGTCTGCCTTTGTTTCTGTTCTTTTAAAGCAAATGAGGAGGTTCCTTCTCCTTCCAAGCATGCCATGCTTTTCTCCTCTCCTGATTTCTCTCTTTAAGAGGGTTAGGATCAAGCAGATCTGAAGGAGAGATATGCTGGGGAAATAGGGTCAGAGAGTACTGATAGCATTGGGCAGAGTGGAATGCTGGTCCTGGGTGGCCAATCCAGAGGAAGGATTGCAGTCTGGCTGCTTAGTAAGGGCTGGGACTTGGGCAGAAAGAAAGAGAAAAGGGACACACTGAACTTTTCATGTGTGTGTATGTGTGAGTTTTACCTCCTGCCTTTTCATATTCTCTCCAGTGAGAGTGCTTTAGGCTTCAGGTTGTCATGCAGTGGGGGAGGGGTCTGTGGAATATTTTAGAGGATGCTGGGGTCAGTTTTGGCTTTTCTTTTCTTTCCTTTTTTTGTAGTGGGTTCCCAGCATCCTACAGCTAGGAGAATGGAATATGGATGTGTGACTCTCCTGGGCTCCTGGAGAACAGGAATGGTTTTCCAAAGGAACATTTTCAGAGACTTGTCAGTGAGGATTTCCTTTTTGCATCCCCTCCTTTTTTCACCATCTATCTTAGAGGGGGCACCTGAGCCTTTTCCCCATATGCTCATTTGGATCAGAATGGTCACTTTGGGGACTAACCAGGGAGAACTCCAAAACTGTACCATCATACAGCCTTCCTTGTTCCTAGTCCTGAATCTGCATGTCTGTCAGGATCTTCATTGTCCCTCTGTAATTGGAGTTTCTTTAAAAGAAAAAAGAAAGAGGAGAAAAAAACAATCTACAAACTTGTCAGTTCTTGATTCTGTTTTATTTAGGGATTTCTCATCTTCGTCTACAGATGCTTAGATGGATTTTCCAGTTTCCAAACAACTATTCCCCCTCACCACCCACCACACACATACCCCAACTCATATAATTATACAGAAGGCAGAATTATCTGTACATGGTGGTTCCATTTGTTGCCCCCAGAATTGTTCTAGGAAGAGCCTCAGACCCCCTCTTTATATTGTGTCTTTTCACTGTGTGTGTGATTGTGTGTATACATGCACACATGCATACATAATATGGCTATTATAAATGTACACACACATATGTAATTATGGACTAGAAAGAGAAAAGGCATTTCCATGTTGAGCAGAAGGAATAAGCTTATTTATATTCTTGTGTTAATGAAGTCTGGTGTGTTCAAGTGACTCGTGTTGTGAAGCATGCAAACACCAGAATGTACATTCCAGCTGTCAGCGGCGTCATGCCATTGTTCTCAGAGAGGCGGAGGGAAGCTCCCCCTGCTACAGAGGATTGCCAATTAGGGTTTTTGGCAAAGGGGAGCAGACAGGAGCTGCCGCTGTTACTTTCTTCCTTGTTTCTTTCTTTTCAAATATCCTTTTAAAATCACAAATCATTACAGGGCCAAAGGGATTGGGGAATTTTAAAAATGCCAAGAACATCCCTTGAATGTGTTTCGGGGAGAGGAGTCTGGGCGGGGCAGGTGGGGGCGGGGGGCGGCAGAGGCGCTGCTTGAAGTCCCCCCAAAGAGCAGCTTGTCAGAGACGCTAACAGCGGCAATCACGCCCGCGCTTGCATCTCATCGCTGACTCCCAACTCCCCTGTCAGCGTTCCCGCTAATGAAAGTGGACTCCTGGAATATGCTCTCTCGCTTGATCGAATCTTTGAAATTCATTTTCCTGCCTCGCCTCTTCTCCCCCCCACACCTCCTCAACCTCCCACCAGCCCCCACCCCCATCCCCAGATCCAAAAGACAAGCTCTGTCATGGGACAATCATGTGAAAGGTCCCATGAATATTAATACTGTCACAGCCCCACTTGCAGACACGGGCAGGGTTTAGCTCCTGTGGCAGGGGGCTTTAGTTTGGAACTTTCTATCCACGCCATCCCATCTCCCTCTACGCCCCCGCTCCCAACCTATGTTTCCTGATGTTTGCTTTTCAGTATTTTGTATAGTAACTAGAGATGGTTTTGACTAAATGCTTTATTTATTTAATAGCAAAAAAAAAAAAAAAATGTGCTGAGAGGAATTCTCCTTAATTAAAGTTTTACTAGTTCGGAAAGTCTCGTTCCTTCCTTGGTTGTGGTGGGGTTTTTGGGTCTCTCCCCCACAAACTTTTCTAAAAACATCCAGTTAAATCCATCCTCTGGATGCCTTGGTTTCCTGCTTTCTTTGAATTTTGGAACACCTCATCAGTTAAGCAACAAGCATGTATGAATATACCTACCTATGAATATATCTAGACACTGTCAGCCAGGGGATACAGAGTGAATAAATCCCAACCTTTGAGTTTTACCTCTTCACCCCCATTTTGTGACAGTTCTCTGGCATATGTGAATCCCTCCTGAGAGGACAAAGAGTTCACCTATTGAGCCTTGGGGCTAGCCAGATGGCTCAGTGGATAGAGCACTGGGCCTGGAGTCACGAAAGATTTGAGTTCAAATCTGGCCTCAGATACTTACTAGCTGTGTGACCCTGGGCAAATCACTCTAACTTAATCCACTGGAGAAGGAAATGGCAAACCACAGTAGTATCTTTGCCAAGAAAACACCATGGACAGTGTGTTCTAAGAGGTCATGAAGAGTCAGCCACAACTGAATGACTAAACAACATATTGTCCCTTGATTTCTAGGACTGGTTCACGGTGCCCATGTGCCCCACTGAAGGTGCATCTGTCAAATGGGAAAGTCCCAACACTGATTTGTAGCAATGACATTTTTTTATCTGTGTGACCAGATGATGTTATTCTTTCAATTGCATGGATGGGGAAATTGAGGAACAGAGGATAAAATGACCTACCTAAAGTCTTTCAGCTAGTTAGTGATGGAGCTGGAAAAAGAACTCAGGACTTCAGACTTGTGACCTAGTGGTCTTTTCTGGTTCGTGTATGGTCAGATTTCAGATTGCCCATTTGTATCCCTGGCATTTCTCTGCCCTTCCTACAGAGCAGGGAGGAAGGGGATAGAATGCCAGTAGGCCTGTTTGAATGAACTAGTCAATAAACATTTATTAATGACTTCATATGTGCCAGGCACTGAACTAAGTGCTAGGTAAATAAAATGAAGCAGAAGATAGTACCTGTCCTCAAGAAGCTTACGATCTAATGGCAGGAACAACATGCAAACAAAATATGCAAAGCTAATATAGAGTACATATGAGGGAAAGATAGATAAGAACCAAATTGGAAAGGAATTTAAATGACAGAGAAGTTTGTATCCCATCCTAGAAGCAATTGGGAGCCAATGAAGCTTCTTGAACAAGGGAATCAGATTCCATTGCCTTCTCTTTTTCAGGCAACTGAGACTAAAAATCTGCCCTGTAGGAAAATAACAAGAATGTCCATAGGCCTAGTCTCGGTGTTATACATGGAGAGACTGAATCTTAACCGGAAGGCCCTGTATGTTCACTAATTTGATCTCAATTTCCTCCAAGTCAATTCAAATGGAATTTACATCATCACACAATGGAAGGAGTGCTGAATTTAAGTATCAGCTGTGTGACTGTGGACAAGTCATTGACTATCTCTAGGGTTCAGTGGCCTCATTGGTCAAATGTTGAGATTGGACTAGATGGCGTCTTTATCTCCATCTATGGTTATCATGAGCTGAAAAAATAGTAGAAAAGGCCTAGCTGTCTATGGCATGGGTGGACTCCAGTTCCTTGCCCCCCTCCCTGGGAAGAAGTGACCCGCAGGGTGCTGTTATGAGACAGAAGAGGGAAAACCACGGAAACCCGTAGACAACTTTACACCACCTATTGAGAAATGATGCAAGAAATGTCAGGGAGCATATGAACATGAGCCATAGGCCTCCTAGATCAAGGGCAAGAGGAACCGGGTAGTGGGGAGGAAAGACAACCCTCTCCTCCTTCATCTCTGTGGAGGAAAGTTTCCTGAAGGAACTAAGGCTTAAGGAGGCTCACATGAATTGACCTCCAATTCCCCTTCCACTTAGATACTACATGTGAGAAATCATGGTACAGCAGGAGAGGTCACAGGATCAAATCCCAGCATGGCCACTTGTTACCTGAGCCATGTCATCGACTCTCTCCTCTTATGTAAAATGAAGGTGTTGGACTCTGTGTGCACTAAGATCTCTTCCAGCTCTAAATCTGAATGAAGGAGATTTGGGCAGCGTGGGGCCTGGGGCTGGATGGGCCATATGGAACAACCAATTTAACCTCTTTAATTTACAGAAAAGGAAAATGAGGCCTAAAGAGGCTAAATGATTTGCCTGTGGTCACACAAGGGACAGAAGTAGAATTCAGACCCAGTTCCTCCGATCACTAGGCTGCCTCATCAGAGAAAGCTGAAAATGGAAAGAAGGGGAAGGAGCTTCGTGTGTTCACGACTTGCCAATCTCCCTTCCAATGAATAAAAGCCCCAAACGCCCAGGGTGAGAGGCGGAGGGTTCCCAGCTTCTATGAGCCCTAGAGAGGCTCTACAATCCATATAGCACAGACATATTTGCATTATAATAGTTCTACATGAAAAAGGAAAGGCATTTGGGAAGAGGGAAAAGGGAGGGAATGTACTCTCTCACCTACAGCCGTTTTCATGGGATCAAACGATTTAGACCTAGAAGGGACCTTGTAGACGATTTAGTCCAACCCCCTTCATTTGCAGAGGAAGAAACGGAAGCCTGAACATGTAACTTGCCCTAGGTTGCAGAGGGGCTAAGAGTAGCCTAGCTGGGATTTGAACTCCAAATCCAAAGCTACATGGGGTGTCACAGGGTCATTTATTTGCTCTGATAGGGTCATACTGGGATCACAGGATCTTGGAAGGGACCTCAGGGGCTACGTGGTCTAACCTAGAGCTGAACAGGTGTTCCCTTGAGAGCATCCTTAACAGCGGGTCACCCACTCTGTTCACTTGATAATCCCCGGTGACGAGGAGCCTTCTGAAGCAGCTCCTTCCACTTTTGGACAGCTCTAATGGCTAGGGCCTTCTTCCTTATGTAGACCCAGTCTCTCTCTCTCAATCTCTCTCTCTCTCTCTTCTCTCTCTGTCTCTCCTCTCTGTTTGTCTCTTCTGTCTCTGTCTCTGTCTGTCTGTCTGTCTCCGTCTCTGTCTGTCTTTCTGTCTCTGTCTCTCCTCTCTGTTTGTCTCTTCTGTCTCTGTCTTTGTCTGTCTGTCTCTGTCTCTGTCTCTCCGCTCTGTTTGTCTCTTCTGTCTCTGCCTTTGTCTTTCTTTCTCTCTGTCTCTCCTCTCTCTGTTTCTCTCCCCGTTTCCTTCTCTCCCTCTCCTCTCTGTCTCTCTCTCTGTCTCTGTCTTTCTCTCTGTCTCTGTCTCTCTCTTTCTCTGTCCAACTTCCACCTTTTGCTCCTTTTGAGGCAAAGAGGTGGCACAATGAATAGTGTTGGGCTTGGAATCAGGAAGACCTGAGTTCAAATCCTCCCTTAGACACTTACTGGCTGCATGGATGCTAGGCAAATCACTAAACTGCTGGCTGCCTCAGTTTCCTCAGGAGACAATAATGACACCTACCTCCCAGGGTTGATGAGATGATAAAATGAGATAATATGATGTGCTTTGTAAATCTTAAAGAGCTATATAAATGTTATTATTACAATTATTGTTAATTTCTGTCCTCTCAGGTCAAGTAGAATAGATTAGGACTTGCCTCTAGTTTGTGACCCCAATATGATACTAATAAAAATATTAATAATGATAATTCCCATTTCTATAATTGTGACCAGTTTATCAAATGCTTTAATCTCAATAGTTCTTAGAGGCACATAGAGTGGTTACTATTTTCATTTTATGGATGAGGAAACAGAGGCCTGGAAGACGGGAGTGATGGACTATTTTAGAAATGAGGAAACCTTAGAAATCATATTGTCATTTTATAAGATGAGAAAACTGAGACCCAGAGAGGGTGAAGTGACTCTTCTAACAAATACATAGCTACCATTGCACTGCTTCATGGTCTGAGCCCTTCTGGTGGGTATTTATGGATATACACGGCTCTCTTATTTCCCTTATCCACCTAATTGCACTCTTTTCAAAGACCTACTTCCCCTTTCCTATCCACCTGGATAGCTCTGCCTCCTCTCATCTAGTTTCTGAGGGTGCCATGGGAATTTGAATAATTTAAGGGTGTCACTGGAAAAAAAAGGTTGAGAAGCCTCTTAGAATGCAGTCAATCTATCAACAAATGCATGTCTTATGCACCAGGCCTTATGTTAGGGGTGGGGGGTGGGTCAGAAAGACTAGAAGACAAGAGTCCCAACCCTCAAGGAACTGGTGCAGTAGCTGAGGACTAGCCAGTATCTGGGTCAGAGGGAGGAAGATGTCTTGTACTGCTGGCTCTTTCCTGAGTAGGGACAGAGCAACAGCGGCCTGGGCAGTCCTGAGTCCTTCTCCCTTCTCTGGTTCCAAGCAACTTAAGCCAGGGCCTTAAACTCAACTCAGCAATGAACCCCAAACCAGAATGAATCATAGATTTAGAGAACATGAGAGCTAGAAAGGACCTTGGAGATTATCCAGTGGAGCCCTTTCATTTTTATAGATGGGGAAACTGAGGCACATCAAGGGGAAACAACTTTCCCACCATCACAAAGATGCAAGTTGGCACCTGGAGCCTGCTCCTCTGACTCCAGACCCCGCAGTCTTTTCTATAAAAGCGCCTTCCAGTTTTGACACAATTATGGTCTCAAGTCCATTTGAGGACTAACATTCTATTTCCATAAGATCATGGAGTTTAGAGTTGGAAGGGGCCTTGGAGGCTATCTCCTTCAGTCACCTCATTTCACCGAGAAGGCAGCTAAGGAAATAATTTGCTGAGAATCACCCAGTGAATTACTGGCAGCGCCAGGATTGTAACCCACATCTCCAGACTCCCAGTCTGGCATGCTTTCCAGAGGGTCTGGTGTGCTTTTCATCATAAAATACCACTTTTCATGGGGGAAAGTGACTTAGGACTAGTTTCTGTGACCTCTATGACAGGCCTATTCCCAGGCTCTGGGACCAGGCAAGGGACGTGAGGGTGTTGGTTGCCAGCCAAGTGCCTCATGATATTCAGTGAACACTGTTCCCTTGTTGGAAGGGC